GGGAGGGGGGAGAGAGAGAGGAAGAAAGAAAGAGAGAGAAAAAGATAGAGAGAGAAAGAAAGAGTGAGAGAGATTGTGTGTATGTGTGTGTATATGTGTATGTGTGTGTGTGTGTGTGTGTGTGCTCTTGTTTGTGTGTGTATGTTCGTGTATGCGTATGTGTGTGGGCTTATTTGTATATGTATGTCAGTTTTGAGTCCTTTATATGAAACTTTAAATGGCAGACAACTAAATGCATGCTATAATATATTATTTATTTATGAAAATTAATCCTTCTAATCTGGGTATCATAGTTTAAATTGTGCCGCGGCATTGACTTTGGTCTAATGCTGGTCGATCGGTCGGAGAAATGTATCCTCTTCATCCATGCAAAGTTAAAGCAGTGGGTGGTTGGCGGGTGCTCTGGCGTAGTTTGCTTCTTCTTTCCTATCAAACATCTATTGTCCTTATCTACCCTTCTTCTTTTTCATGTTTGTTACTATCTTGTAACAAATCCAATCTTCTGGCGCTCATATAACCTAATGTAGTTGCGAGTGCCCTAAAACCTATTCTAAAACTAAAACCGAGACTTAAAACAGAGAAATACGTTTAAAAAAATCTCTTCTCTTGTCCGGCCAGTGTCCAACAGAGGCCTGACGGCGGGTCCAGTGGTGAAACTGGAGGTGTCGCCACCTCCCCACTATACTGTGACCTGGCTCAGACCCACCTCTGGTCCCGACACCATAGACGGGTATCTGCTTCAGCTGAGACAGGACAACGCTTGTTTGAGGCTGTTCCGGATCATCTGTGAGGACTGTAAAGCTAGCAGAGTGAGTTGGTGGACGACGTTGTAATAAATATTATGTAATCATAGATGTTTTAGACTCTCATCGATACACTTTGAATCAATTCTTGGGTTGTTTTGTCAGGGGGGGGGGGGGTGTTTTGCCCGTTCTCCCCCCCCCCCCCCCCCCACCCCAACCACCCGCCCCACCTACCCCACTTTCTCGGGCAATAGTGTACGAGTGGTCCGGTATTCTTCAATCTTCCCGAGCCTTGACTACCAGTGACCATGAAAGCTGTCTCCAAACAAGGGCATGAGCATCGTTGTCAAGCACGATATCATCTGACCAGCATCTCCGACGGGTGACCTATTTTTGGAGTTAGAGCGAGCTCCGGAACGCCTATTCAGTCTTCAACTAACGGTACTAGGCCTTTTGAGATACTGCCTATCTATGTATCTATCTAGCTAGCTAGTGAGTTGGCAATCTGTCTATCTATCTTTGCACGCAGAGAGAGAGAGAGAGATAGAGAGAGAGAGAGTGAGAGAAAGAGAGAGAGAGTGAAAGAGAGAGAGAGA